TTGTGGAGACTTCTCCAAATCCCATTTTTGATCTCTTGTCTCTTTCCCCACAATTATATATGCAGTCATTCCAAGTTCCATGGGATTGTACATTATTTGGGATGGCTTCTAGCAATATCCCCCTCTACATTTCCCACACCGATGCCCTGGAGATTGGGATGGGCAATCAATGTCTAAATATAGCTGTTTTACAATTTTGGACATTGTAAGTTCATATCTTTCATGACTCTTTTCATTTTAGTAAATATATAAGCTATAAGTTCACTTAAATTGGCATATTTTAGGATGATGCACGAAATGATAGTGGAGCAGGGCATTGGTCACGTGTATGGATTCTTCGAGCCTCAATCCATACAAAAGTCTCGGGAATAAGCGTGATCAAATTGTCGGCTACATCCGAATTGGATGACTCGTCTCTAAAAGAGATATTTACCTTGGAGCATACCATCATTCGTAAGTTATCCCAGCCTCTTCCTGGTTTTACACAAGTTTTTTTAATAGATTCTAATCATGTGTATATACGTAAACCACTCGGCAGCTATTAGTTATTTGTCCAAAGCGTAATCTTGTGTGTTGGTTCTCGCTCATTGGGAAGAAAACCGGACATGGAGCTAAAAAATATTGTAAACGAGTAAGTATTTATTATATTATGTCTAAACATCTTGATTATTCTATTTCTAATCCCCTTATTTTCAATATATAGTGCTTTAAAGGTTTGTAGTACATTAGATGGAAAACACACAAGTAAAAGCACAGACTCCAAATTGGAATTTTATGAAAGTAAGTAGCCTTTATATATATTATACTATTTATTAATTTACGTTCAAATTTAATAGTTATTTTTAATATATATACTCATTTTTAGTGTAACAAACAAAATGGAGGCTACGAGTGCGGCTACTATGTAATGTATTGGATATGGCTCATCATTTTTTGTTGCATTCGGGATAGTTGGGACGAGGTAAGTTGACATTTGCTATTATATTCAATTCCTTTATTTTTATTGCTTAGGGTTTACCATTCTATTATTGTGAACTTCTTACGTGCATTTAAAGATATAGAACCTTTGCCTATGGATACAATAGACATGGTTAGAAACAAATGGGCGTAAAGGTTTGTGCAAGTAGTTAGGAATAATAGGATTGATTGATAATTTTTGTGTATTATGTACATAATGTGGTCGGACTGAGATTGTAAGTGTATTGTGTAAATATATAGTGATTATGTGAATCTGGCTGAGATTGTGTATTGTGTATATATTATGTATTGTGTAAATCTGGCTGGATCGAGATTTATATAGCAGGTCGTGTATGGTAGCACAAAAACGAGACCAAAATTTAAAAAAAAATGGATATTCTACGCTCGGTTATTGCATTAACCGATGTTGAAACGCTCGGTCGCGTGAGCGAAACAACGACCCGAGCGCCCTCTTTGTTTGAAGGCTTCGTCGCTCAAGCGAGTACACCGGTCGCTTGAGCGATAAAGGACTTTCAACGTCGATTATCCAATAAGCGACGTAGAATTTACTCATTTCTACGTCGCCTTTGCATTAACCGACGTTGTGACGTCGGTCGCTTGAGCGAAAACTCGGTCGCTTGAGCGAAGCAGCAACCGAGGGTCCCTTTGGTTTGAAGGCTTCGTCGCTCAAGCGAGTACACGAGTCGCTTGAGCGACTTCAACGTCGGTTAGTTCAATAACCGACGTAGATGTCTACCACTTTCAACGTCGGGTATGATGAACCGACGTAGAATCCTTTGACATTCAACGACGCCTGATTCAACGACGTCATTGGAACCGACGTTGAAAGCCTTCTACACCCGACGTTGAATGCTCCTTCTGCAGTAGTGAAATGAAGTAAAACGAGCACGTAAAAACACATTCATCTAGGAGTATGAATTATTTCAAATGCAGCAAAATGAAAGTATCACGGATTTCCGGACACGCTTCACACATATAATAAATCACTTGAAAACATTAAAAAAAAGTTTTTACAACGAGGAGTTGAGCACAAAAATCTTAAAATCCTTAGACATGAATTATCTTTTCCTTATCTCTTCCTCTTTTTCTGATTATATTATTATTTTATCTATGTTCAAATAAATTATTGACTCATAAATAAATTTTTAATTTAACATCTATTTTAATTTGTGCATTCACCCTTCTCTATATGTCATTTGTCTAACATAACTATAGTTGGCTTCTTGGTTATCTAATTCTTCTATTGATCTACACGTTTGAATATATGGCTTTTGGGTCCAATATAATGGAAAACTAGCTAGCAATTATGGAAGAATTGTGGAAGGTCGTGTTTCAGAAACCTCCCATTAAAATGTTTGAACGAAGACATGAATAATGTCAATAGACCCCTCCCTACGACTCCACTTATTGACGCCCAGGAATTCCATTTGCAGGACTTAAACTCAAAGATAAAATTTAAAAATACATGTTGTTTTTCTTATTAGAATTAAATTTTCACAGTTGTTAGATATATTAATATTTGATGAAATATTTGTATCACGTAAATATTCTCGAGGTAAATTTTCAACTTTATTGGAGAATAAATAATATAAATAAATACAAATAGTACTCGTATTACAGTATTTCAAACAGGTATTTATTTAAGTGCAGTGATCAACATCTTCAATTTTATTTTTATTTTTCTTTTGTTTTTTTCTCAATCTTCTCCTTCTCCAATGAAGAGACAAAAAAACCAGAGTGAGTCGGAACACGGTAACAAGATTATACTAGCATATTGAATCATAAATGAAAGAAAATAATAAATAATAGGAATAACTTTATTTAATAAATTCTAATATTTTCAATGTAAAGTTTGAATCATTATGTATTAATGGAACGAAATAAAATAATTGTATTTTTGAGTCATTATTTAATAAAGTAATAAATATTTTTACTGTTTTAAAAATTGATCCCCATCATTTAATTAGGAATTGGTCTTTCTTTTAAATAATTATATTTTAAATAAATAGAGACAAAATAAAAAAATTTGGTTGGATTCTTTAGTCCATTTTGATAAAAAAAAATTTAAAAATCAATATTTCATATACTTTTTTATAAGAAATATAATATATTTTAATTTTTTTAAACTCATATTAATTATTTCAATTTATAATATTTTTTTTATAATTTCATCTTATTTTAACAATTATTCATCTACCACTTTTTAATATATTTTATATTTATAATTTTCTTTATAATTAGTCACCCTAATAATACTTTTTATTATATTTAAAAAAATATATCATTACTAATAAATTTTTTATATTATATAAATATTACTTTATTAAATTTGACTAATTTTTTTAACCTTTAAATCATGTTTTCGTATGTTTAGTTAACCATTCAATTTTAAAAACATTCAATATTTCCTTTCAAAGTTACGAATCATTGGGAGGCAGCAGGAGTAGATAATTAATTTAGCCCAAACATATTAAATGCAAGATACGCGTCCAAAACAAACAAATCATAATAATAGAAAATGTTACATAAAATATAATAAATGAGTCTTATTTTTTATTGATAAAAAATTAATAAATAATAAATGAGATATTAATTGAAGAGTACATGAAAATGTAAAAAAAAAATTAAAGATTTAATGAAAAGCATGTCACTTTAATAAAAATTTTAATTTTTTATTTCCTTTTATATCAGAAAAACAACTTTAAATTTCCATTCACATTCACATGCTTAACTTTTTACATTTTACACGGAAACAACATTAAACCATCATTAATAATTCCACAACTTTTTAGTGTCTTACATAATTTAAAAAAAAAACATTTTATGTGAATTTTATAAAATTCACACGAACATTTGGATAAAATATAAATAACAGAGTTATTAAAATAATATGTTTAAAAATGAAAATAAATATTTTATTATAAATTATACATATAAGCTACTTCAAATTATAAAAAATTTATTTATATAATCAATTTAATCATTTTAAAATAATTCATTTTTGTGATCTATAATAAAATATTTAGTTTTATTTTTAACGGGTCTTATTAATAACACTTTTAAAATTACTCTTATTATCAATGTTTAAAAAATTAAACTGAACACTTAACTATTAAAAATAGCATGAATTAAAAGATTAAAAATTCAATTGGAGTTAATCAGGTATAACATGATTTAATAAAATAATATTTTATAATATAATAAATACATCATAATTTCACTAATAATCACATTTGTTTATAAAATTAAAGAATAAAAAATGTTGTTATCATGATTATATTAAATTAAAATAAGTTATAAATATAAGATAGATTTAAAGAAAACAAATAATAATTAAAGTAATATAAAAATTTAATAAAATAATTATTATATAAAATTGACATAATAAATATGAGATTAATAAAATTAAAAAATATTATATTTTTTTATAAAAAAGTTATATTTAAAAATATTAAAAATTTTAAACTTAATTATTAAAAAAAATAAGTCCAGTTATTGATTGAACTAAAGTTTAATTATTTGAAAATAATGAACCCTTTTTAATCCGATTCTCAATTGGAAACACTTATCTATCTAATTTTCAACTATAATCAAAGAAATTCAAATATATCAAAAGTGTAATTGATATCCCAACCCCAATTATGTAATGTCTTATTATATTTTAATATCATTCCTCATGTTACACTATTTATTTTTTATCACATTACCTTTCTTGTTTGTACTATCAAAACCCTATTTATTCCACTAATAACAACACCTAAACCATCAACAAAAATTCTAAAAAAAGTCATTGTGCATCTATATTATTTTTCATGAACTCATGATTCTCTTGTAGCCACGATCACATCAATAAGAATTAAATGGATTAAACAAGAGAAATTGATTAGTGGAAAAAGTTCATTTAGAGGTGTTGACACAACTTTTCACGCACAAAAATAAAATAAAATAAAAAATCATGACACGTTCAAATAGATCTTCCTTCAGATCAATTATTTATGTTCAACGTTACTATGTCACCACTTCTAATTCATTCGCCACCCACGAACTCCACAACCAAATGAGTTGAACCCCAACAGGTTGCAACCCCCAATGAAATCACCAGACTTATTACCATGGTTGTCGTTACTATTGTCATGTTGTTCAAAAGTGTAGTTTAAAAAACCAGGATTCTTGAAGGTGGAGATCGTGAGGCAGACATCCTCACCGGCGATGACGCTACCACCGATGACCCCACCGATGATCTGACCATGAGAGGCGGAAAGGTTTATCCCAAAGCATAAGGGAAATGGAGAGGTGACTCCAGGGTGAAGGGTGTAGTGGTTCTTGCATAAGTAGGAACCAGTAAGGGAGAGTAAGGTGAAAGGCCCATGGAGCATGACCTTCTGGGAGTTGTGTAAGGTAACAATGTTGATCATGCCAGAGGCATTAAGGACAGATACATTGACTTGGTCCTTGTGAGCAATGTCAAAGATGAACTCCATGATGTCCCTGTTTGGAGGTACATTAAAAGCAAAAACCTTAGTGAAAGACTTATCAGGCTCGGCCATTGGGGAAGAGATGGAGCTTGTCCTATTCCTGGAGCCCGGGGGCCTGCCACGTGGCGTCCTTGCAGAAGGGTCCATGAGAGGGTTATTGGTGACGGTGGTGGATGGTGTTGTGATTGTGTGAAGCTTTGTTTATGGGAGGATTTATAGTGTGGTTGTAAATTCTCTCAAACTTTAGCATAACCAAATCAATGGCTTTTGATGGTTTTCAGCGTGAAATTCGGCAAAAAATAATTAAAATATAGAGAACTTTATTCAAGAAAAGGTTATAATATTTAAGGTTGGATTAGTGAAATATACGACGAAAATAATCTTATATGAAAATTATGTTATAAATGTACTTGTGGTAAAATTAAGAATATTAGTTTTTTATTTATCAATTTTTAATATTCTATTTAATTTGGTGAAATTCAGGTTAGACTCATTAATTATTAACATAAATTTATTCTATCTTAATTTTTATCTTAACCATGGTTATTAACAATGAGGGATATTGAAGTCAAATAATATATTATTAATAAATAAATATAAAATGAAAAAAGAAGATAAAAGAGTGAAAGGATAAAATTGTAGATATATAATTAAATATATTAAATGATCATTAAGTTAGAGCGGGACAAAATCATAAATTATATGAGAGTTACAAAACTAAGGAGGGGCTGAGAGGATACAATTGTAAATATACAAGTAAATATATTAAATGTTCATTAAGTTTGGGAGGCTAAAATCATAAATTACATGAGAGTTACAAAACTTTGGGATCCCCTCATCTCTCAAAAAGATCCGCCACTGGTTATTAAAATCATATCAGACCGATCGATTGGATTGGGAATCAGTCTGAACTGACTTATTAGACTGGAATCGGTCTAATAATCCGTCTGAAACTCCTAAAAAATTAGATGAATAATGAACTAGTTAAAAATTAGATAAATCGATTAAAAGTTGGAAAAATTGATGAAATGGGACGAGTTAATGGGTCATTTGTTTTTTTTTTTTTAAAGCTAAACTAACGTCATTTTTTTTTCTTTAATTTAATATAGAGACACAAATGTGAATAGAAAAAGTTGTTTTTTTTACTAGTGATGACATTTTTCTTTAACTACAATCTTTTCTCTTATAATTATCATCATCATCACTCACTACATTTGATTGTCTCCTTCCGGTATTATTCTTGTTGTCATCGTTATCTACTATTATCATCACTACAATAAAAAATACAATAGCATGTAAGAATCACAATCTCTTAATTTCAAAAATTAATTTGATAAGTGGACGGTGAGTTATCCTTGAGTTCCATAACCATGCCTAGAAATAAAATAAAAATGTATAAAATTTGAAATTAGAAGCAATATGGTGTAATCGTTTTCCCTTAATTGTTTTCAATTTATGTAGTTTTTTCTCTAATTATTTTCAAGTTAGTTGTAGTTTTCTTTCCCTTAATTATTTTCAAGTTAGGTGTAGGCATAAATTTGTTTCTCTAACTGTTTTATATTCTAAGTGTTTAATGATATGTTTATTCATTTTTTTTTATGTATTTTACGAATCATTCTTATTATTATATAATAATTTAAAAAAAATATTTATATTGGATTGGAATTATTATTATAGTGTAATAAACTTATTTTAAGTTTAATATTTTATTATATTATTAAAATATATTATTTTATTAAATCCGTTCATCCTCGATTTAATTCCTTATTAAACTTTAAACCCTAAATTCATATATGACCAGTCAACCTATTTATAATCCATAATACCAAATTTGATTCCTAGATGTGAAATAATTTTTAAAATTAGAACAAGGGAATTTTTGTCCTTAGTAATATATTCTCCTTTAGCAAAGTTCTCTCACCGAAGATAGTTGTAGTTTGTATAAATAAAATGTTTTGCTCATTTGTTGAAAAATAAAGTTCATAGAATCACTTTTATTATGTGAATTTTATTTAATGATAAAATGAAATTCGATGAAAAGCATGTGTAATGAGACATGGAGTTAGATGAAACACTAATCATTATGTGAACTATTTATGAATTTTACTCAATAATGACATCAATATAAGGAAAAATATGTTAAAAACAATATCGATTAAAATCCTTTAACTAAATAACAAAAAGTATGATGAATAAATAATGATAAAACATTTGAGCGTGTAAATGAAATTTTGCTGATATAATTTATTATTTTTCATTTCATTTATGCATTTAGCAGAATAAAATTTATGAGCAAAGTTGTCTAATGAGGAGTTATGTTATAAATATAATTGTAATAAAAATAAATAATTTTGGTATCGTGAAAAAAAATTATATATATTTTTATATTGATTTATTTTTTATTTAGGTAAGAAGAAGATTTAAGACTTGTTAAAAAAATTTAATTAAACACGTATTATTACGTAAATGTGAAATGAATTTAACTCAATTGTAAGAAAAATATATTCAAAACGCGTAGGTCTTGTTTTTTTTCATAAAGTTTGATTGAGAAATTATGATAAAGTTGCGTAACGCAAATAGTTGAGTCCATTAAATAAAGTTAGTGGAATTCATTTACGAAATAGTTTCTTTACACTAGCATTTATAATAATAATAATAATAATAATAATAATAATAATAATAATAATAATAATAATAATAATAATAATAATAATAATAAAAGAATTATAAATTGTAATAAAAAAACTCAATACAAATAGTTAAAAAAAAAAATTAAATATAAAGTTTATAAACAACCTAAATTTTGATCCTTAAAGTGAAAGATGAAAAGTATAGTTATCCAATACTAAAATTTAAAAACAATAAGATTATTAATATTTTAGAATAATCCATTTTAGATTAACATATAAAATATAGGTATAATTTTAATCATTTAAAACTAATTTAAATTGTTGCAAAATCAATTTATCGAAGTACATAGTCAAATATTAATAATATTAAAAGACATTAGATTTAAAAAAATGTAACGATTTAGTACTTGTAATGTTACAGTTTGTTAGTTAAGTTTTTAGGTAGTTTGTTAGTTTTTTATGTTATGTTTATTTTTTTTATATATAGTATGTTGTATTCTTCATTGGTTTTAAGAAATTTTTTTCTGCATCAGAATACTAGTGCACTTTTTACTCTCTTATCTCTATCATGAGTTTTACTCCAGACCAACACAAGGCCTTGTTAGCACTCCTTCAGCAGTCTGAAATCCAGAACAATCACACAGTTAATCAACTTATCTCCGTTATACAAGATTTTGATTCAAAACCATTAGGTATAATTTGTAACTTGTTCAATTGCAACTCCTGGATCATTGATACAAGAGCTACTGATCATGTGTGTAATTCCCTTACTAACTTTCAAACACAGAAAAATCAAACCCATTCATATAAAATTACCTGATGGGAGTCAAGTTACTACCATTATGTCTGGAACAATTTTTTTTTTTCCAAATATTTTTACCTCATAGATGTTCTTTTCATTCCTACTTTCAAATTCAATCTTATTTATGTGTCAAAGTTAACTAAGACCCTTTCATGCAAATTTATTTGTTCTATTCTGTTTGTAAGATTCAGGACAACAATTCTTTGAAGATGATTGGTGCAGCTAACCTACAGAATGACCTATATGCAATGAGTTCTTCAAATCAGCCATTGTTTTTTAACAAGTGCATAAACAATTTTTACCGTTACAATAATGATGTGTGGCACTTAAGATTAGGTCATCTCTCTCATGAGAAACTCAAACACATACAGACTATGTACCCTTTTATAAAATGCAATAAAATCAAAGTTCCTTGTGAAGTTTGTCATCTAGCTAAACAAAAATGTCTTCCTTTTGCTAATAGTACTAATGCATGTACTGAGATTTTTTATTTACTACATATAGACATATGGGGACCTTTATCTGTTCCTTCAATTTTTGGTCATAAATATTTTTTAACCATAATAGAAAATACTACTAGATATACTTGGATTTATCTCATGAAACAGAAAAGTGAAACCTCATCTTTGATTCAATCTTTTGTTGCTCAAATTGAAACACAGTTTAACAAGAAAGTCAAAATAATTAGAACAGATAATGGTAAGGAGTTTAATATGTATGAATGGTTTAAACACAAAGGTATTTTACATCAAAACTCTTGTGTTGAAACTCCACAATAAAATGGTATAGTAGAGAGAAATCATCAACACATTTTAGGAACTGCCAGAGCTCTTATGTTTCAATCTGGAATTCCTAAATCTTTTTGGAATCATATTGTTAATCATGCTATTTTTCTTATCAATAGGATGCCTACTAAGTTCTTACAAAACAAATCTCCTTATCAAGTCTTATATGATGATGACAAACTACCTGAGATTTCTGAATTAAATGTTTTTGGATGTTTGTGTTTTGCTTCAACTATTCAATCTCACATAATGAAACTTGATCAAAGTGCTAGGAAATGTATTTTTCTAGCATATAAAACTGGCAGAAAAGGTAATGTCCTTTATGATTTGAAAAAAAAAACTTTTATTTCTAGGGACGTTTTGTTTTATGAAGAAATTTTTCCCATGATAATCAACTGCAATAAAAAATCTGATGCAAATGTTTGTGTTCCCCTTGTTCAATAAAATTTTTCTGTTGATGATTCTTTTTCTTTTGAAAACCAAACACTTGATATTTCATATAATAATAATAATAATAATAATAATAATAATAATAATAATAATAATAATAATAATAATAATAATAATCAATAACTTGTTTGATAATCATCAATATGATATAGAACACCAACAACAAAAAACTGGAAATGTTAAAAATAATATTGTGAGACAATCTCAAAGAGTGAGACGAACACCTTCTTATTTGAAGGACTATCATTGTACATTGGCTACAACAGATGGCTCATCATATCACCCCACTGTTAGGTATCCTATTTCTTCTTCTATTTCCTATAATTCATTATCCTCTTCCCACAAACACTACTCCCTTGCTATTTCTTCTGTGCCTAAGCCAAAAACTTATAAGGAGGTTGTTCAACACGATTGTTGGAAGGATGTTATCAATGCTGAGTTACGGGCTTTGGATAAGAATCAAACTTGGGTTTTAACCCC